CCCGAAACCCTAGCCCCCATAAGTGATTGTGAGTGATTCTTACCATTTGAAGTGATTCTTTGGTGCATTTTGAAGTAAGAGGAGGAAGGAGAAGATAGAAGACTCAAGGAAGAAGAAGTAGATCCAGAACCCACTCCTCCTTTGGCATTCTTTCTGGTAATCAAGTTCTCATTTTGATCCTCTTTCTTCTAGATCTATTTTGTCCCCAAAATATGAAGGTTTTGGCCAAAAACCTTAAATCCCTGAATTGTAGGACATCTTGATGCTTCATATCTTAGATCTAGACATCTTTAAACTCCATGAGCCCCAAGAGATTACCTTTAGGCAGCCATAGCTCCATATTGAGCAATTAACCTCCATTATTAGCTTTGTTATGGTGTTATAGCTTCATTACTCTATGCATGCACGTAAAGTTAGCAACTTTACGTGTAAAACCAGCCTCAGGAGTCCAGATCCAATAGTTGGAGGCATCAGAATGGTTTAAGGTGGTCTGAATGTCCATGTCACGAGGAAGACTCGGCGAGTCGTTCATGGACTCGGCGAGTCGGGTCGCGAACCCTAGTTCCCGGATGAGTGAGTTGTGAGTTGAATCAGTGAGTAGAGGAGGTAACTCAGTGGGTTGGCCAGGATTAGGAATCATAGGTTTAGGAACTCGACGAGTCATGGGAATGACTCGGTGAGTCGAGTCGTGAGATGTAAGGATTTCGAGTTATAGGACTCGGCGAGTCAATGTACTGACTCGGCGAGTAGAGTTGACCTGGAAGTTTGACTTTGACCAGGACTTTGACTTTGAATAAGGGGTAAATTGGTCATTTACCCCATGAAGAGTTATCAGTATTAACTAAGAGTATATGGAATTTGTATCCGGAGGGTCACCGGAGCAGCAGACAGGGATTTCTCACTCAGATTGTCAGCAGTCACTCATACGAGGTGAGTTTCCTTCCAGTAGGAACGGGTCTACGGCCACAATGTCGGCCCGTTTAGATGATAATAGTTCCGGACTATGGTCCGATGTCAGGGTGGTCCCGAGAAGTAGTTATGTATGCTTGAGGTCTTCGTGATTCATGTATGTTTGTGTTATGTGTTATATGTTCCGGACTCCGGTCCGATGCCGAGCAAGCCCGATGCAGTATTTGTGATTATGATATATGTTTATGCTATGTTCAGTCTATTCCGGACTACGGTCCGATGCAGTGGTCGGGGCCCAAGTTATTCTGGATTTCGGTCCGATGTCGGGCGGGGCCCAAGTTATTCTGGATTTCGGTCTGATGTCGGGCGGGGCCCGGTGCAGTGGGCGGGGCCCAAGTTATGCTAGACTTAGGTTCGATGTCGGGCGGGGCCCGATGCAGTGGGCAAGGCCCAGTATGTGCTTATGTGTTAGTTTGGTATGTAGTAGTTTGGGGGAGCTCACCAAGCTTCGTGCTTACAGTTTCAATTTTGGTTTCAGGTACTTCAGCTAGCAAAGGGAAGGGCTCAGGATGATGGCATGGCACACACCACAGTTTTTAGCCTGGGAGCGTTTGAGACTCTGATATTTTCCTTACTTTGTTGATACAGTGTTTGAGTTGAGATTTTGAGATACATGATAACTGGTCGTTTTATTTGATTACGAATGTTTACCGTTTTCTTGATAAGATTTTAAAAGAAATTTTTGGGTTGTATTTTTGGGTCGTTTCAACTTGGTATCAGAGCCTTGGTTTGAGGGATTCAAACACACTTTCGGGTGTGTCTGAACTCAAACTAAGGAAATGGTATAAGGTTTTCAAAAGAAAATCATTTTTATGAAAAGAATTTTTGAAAAAGAAACTTAAAAAGAGAAAAGAGTTTTGAAAAAGGGAAAAGGGTGTGGTGCATGCAATCAGCCGAGCTCAAGTAAGTACTCCCAAATTACCCATAAAAGTTTATGTTATGATTATCAGTTTTTGTAGAACAACATGCTAGATTAGGACTAAGGATCTAGGAAGGATGCCTTATGTGCCTGTTATATGTGTTTCAGCTTTATGAGAATTGCATGCTAGTACAGATTAGTTAGGATGATAGCCTGAGTAGTATATGTTGATTATGAGTACTCGATGCCCGAATGTTGCTTGCTTTGTGCTTTTAGGAGTTCCAGTTGTCTTTCATTAGCTAGTAAACAAATATGTTAAGTTACATATTGCAAGGACTAAATAATTTCAGAAGGTTAGGTCTAGCTCTATTTCGCAACTCTTTATTGAGTCCAACCGTTGTACGGTAGGATCTCTCATTCGAAGAATTATCTAGTATGAGTGATATGTAATAGTATTTGCGAGCTAGTTAGGGGAAGAAAGCAGGGACTCCTTACGCAGCTGATGCGGAGAGTGAGTTGGTGATTACCCTAGGGCAAGCCTAGGATGAGAGTAGAAGAGATCAGTAGCAGTAGAAGGGACTTGGTGGAGTCAAGGCAGTTCTTGAGGAAAGTACGGATAGATGTGGAAGGTAGTATGGGCCCGTACTACTGAAAGCAGAGGATCCGTACTTGAATCGAGGAAGGCTGAGACAAGACCAGGAAACTTGTAGTAGATGTGATCCCTCTAGATATATCAGTGTTTCTGACGTTTGTCAATATGTGTTTTCAGAATAGTGGTTTTGCGCCCTAGACCAGCAGTCGGCAGTTCAGGTGCCGGAGAGGGATCAGGTTCAGGCTCGGGAGCCGAGCATTTGGATGAGCAAACTAGGGAGTTCATCTCCTCAGAGATCACATAGCATACTTGAGCAGACTCCTGTGATCTTCGGTACGATCAAGGAGGGCATTCTAGAGCTTATGGATGAGAGGTTGAGTACATTCCGTGCTGAGGTGGCGGCCATGATGGGGTTGCGCACGCTCACATTCAGAGAGTTCAGGGCATGTGGAGCTCCTGATTACCAGGGGGCTCGAGACCCCGTTGCTAGTACCAGATGGTTGGCGGATGTAGCCAACACATTCCGCACCAGCAGATGTCCCGAGGGGGGACAAGGTTAGACTTGCGTCCTGTCTTCTGAAGGGCAGGGCACGTGACTGGTGGGAGGAGGTCGGGAGAGCCATTGGAGATGACACTGTATCGGATGCTATGACCTGGGGCGATTTCACGACTTGGTTCAGAGCCGAGTTTGCACCGGTTATTGAGGTGCAACAGCTTGCTAGGTTGTTCCAGGACCTCCAGTCGACGACAGAGACTGTGGCGGAAATTACCGCCAAATTCAGGGAGAGGGCCCTTCTCGTTCCGCAGTATGCAGCGGACGAGGAGATGAAAAAGGCCCAATATAATGAGATGTTGTGGAGTGATATCCGCCAGTTTGTGAGCTGATCCATCTGCAAGACGCTGGAGGATATGATAGAACGGGCGAGAGAGAGAGAGAGAGAGAGAGAGAGATTGATTTAGAGATGGAGAGGAAGAGGAAGCTAGAGGTGGTGTCTGTCACAGGGGGTTCGGGCAAAAGGCCTAAGGCATCCGATCACAGATCGAGGGGACAGCAGAGCCACAGTCGGTGTGGCAAGTGTGGTAGATTGCACGATGGGGTGTGCAAGGCAGGGAGTTCCGGCTGCTTTAAATGCGGCCGGGTTGGGCACATGAGTAGGGATTGTACAGCTACTACCACTACCACCACAGCATCTGATTTGATTTGCTTCTATTGCAATCAGAGGGGACATAAAAAGTCCCAGTGTCCGAGTTTAGCTTCGGTAGGGCAGGTGGCAGCACCCGCTCCTACTACCTTGAGGATTACAAACGGTCGACAGGGTCGGGCCGAGGCGCCAGTGGCGAAGAGCAGAGCTTTCCAGTTGACAGCAGAGGATGCGCGAGCGACTCCTGACGTGGTGGCGGGTATGTATTTTTCCTCTTATCTCTGTATTTTGGTATAGATTGTTTCTCATGGTTATGTGTTTGTGTATAGGGTCGTTCTTAGTGAACGGCATTTCAGCTATGGTATTGTTTGATTCGGGGGCTACCCGATCATTTGTGTCACTTGCACTTAGCAAGCGATTTAGTAGAGCTCCAGGGGAGCTGGATTGCCCACTCGAGGTTGAGATAGTTGATGATAGGTCCGTCAGGGTCGCGAGAGTACATAGAGGGTGTTCGTTGCTGTTATTTGATGAGCAATTCTCAGTGGATTTGGTTCCTATTCCCCTGCGAGGGAATAAGGTTATATTGGGTATGGACTGGCTGAGCCCCAATGGGGCAGTGATTGATTGCGAGTTGCAGTTAGTGAGGGTTTGCACTCCTAGTGGGGGAGAGTTAGTGATTCAGGGCGAGAGGCCACGGCGCGGACCGATTCTTTGTTCAGCAGCGAGAGTGAGGCGCTACTTTCAGCAAGGTTGCGCGGGGTACGTCGCATATGTTATGGATACCCGGGTTAAGGGCAGGGCAACGGTTGATGATGTACCGGTGGTACGAGAGTACCCGGATGTATTCCCAGAGGATTTGCCTGGGATACCTCCTGAGAGACAGGTTGAGTTAAGGATTGACCTGGTTCCTGGTGCGGCTCCGATAGCCAAGGCACCATATCGGTTGGCTCCTCCAGAGATGCAGGAGTTGTCACTACTAAAAAACAGCCTTTTACGACGCGCAATGCGCGTCGTAAAACGCTCAGACGACGCGCAAATGCGTGTCAAGGAAAGCCGTGTCATAACGAGAGACGACACGCTTTTGCGCATTGTCTATAGACGACGAGCATTTACGACGTGCATTTATGACACGCATTTGAGACGCGCATTTACGACACGCAATGCATATCAAGGAAGGCCCTGTCATAAAGGAAGACGACACGCATTTACGTGACGTAACCTTTCGACGCGCGTTTATGACACGCAATGCGTATCAAGGAAGCCCCTGTTATAAATGAAGATGACACACATTTGCGTGTCATAAACTTCAGTAACCATTTACGATATGCATTTACGACGCGTCTTTACAATACTCATTTACGCATAATACAAAAATATGTAAACAAATATATACCAAAAAAATCAATTTCATCCAATAACATCATATCAAAAAATTGTAATACATTGATATTAAGGGGATCTAATTGTACATTGTTATTAAGATGTTTTCCCTAACTATATAACCTAATACTACATTACCATTAAGGAATACCTTCTGCAATGTAATGCTATACAAACTAAAAAGATATACACAAAGATGATAAATATCAAATTCCAACTAAGTAGAGTTGCATCTTGCCTTTCATAATTCTTTAAGATTAATGAACCCCTGCTCCGATATCTTGTGAACTGATCAAATAAAAGTCAAAAAATTAATATGCTAATATAATTATTAGAAGAATCAAACATGGAATGTTAGTTGTAAAAGACGAAATTACCCTTTTCTCCATCCAAAGAATGTGGGACCGCGCTTGAGATATGATATTTGATCCATTTGGTGTTCAGGGTTCCATTAAAACCCTTTTCTCCATCCGAAGAATGTGGGACCACACTTGAGATATGATATTTGATCCATTTGGTGTTCCGGACTCCATTAATATGCTAATATAATTTACTATGTTTTTAATGATTAAAAAGCACAAAAAGAAAGAATGGCCTTACTCTATAGTCAATATGGCACAAAGCATCCCTGCAAAATCTGGACTCCAAATTTTCCTTCTGTTAAGATGAGAGAGAGGGTGTGTGTGTATTAGATTATTAAATAAAAAAAAAGGAGAAATTTATTAATATATGTTCCATTAACTAATTCTTACCCATACACCATGGATGGAATAAAATCACGCCCACTTGTTGCATCAATAATAAAGTCAAACCCTTCCTATTATAAATATAAATATAATAATTAATAATATAGTAAAATCAGAAAAGAAAAGATGTAAGCAGTAGTAATGAATTAGGGAATTATAGCAAACTCACATGAAAAATATTGTTTGTGTAAGCATCGGTCTGTTTTCACGGGTGGCATTCTTCCCACTTAAAAGCACAAATTTCATTTCAGAAATTACATCCTTGTCCTTGTCCTCGTCAGAAATTACATTCTTCTCCTTCTCCTTCTCCTTCTCCTTGTCAGAAATTACATTCTTGTCCTTCTCCTTGTCCTCGTCAGAAATTACATTATTGTCCTTGTCCCCCTCCTCCTTTTCCTTCTCCTTCTCCTTCTCCTTCTCCTTCTCCTCCTTATCCTTTTGCTTCTCCCTCACAAAAGTCAACAGGTCATCATCAACAAAACAGAATGAATTCTCTCACAATCCGTTATGCAAAACCACTTCCCTTTTGGCAATGCCTATAAACAATAATAAAAGAAAATATCAACCCATTTCTTTTACAATGAAAATAGTATTGCATAATATTAATATACACATACACACCTCCAAATCAGCCATTTTTTGTTCCCTTAGACACCCGATATGATATTCTCTTTCGCACTGACAATGTCATTAACAATGTTTAATGATTAGTGGATCATAAACCTAAATTAAACCTAGGCTAAATTCAAATTTACTTACCTGATCACAAACTATAACAGTTCGTTCATTGAACACGTTTTTGCTGAAATCATGTCCTCTGCAAACAAACAATAACATCATAAACATTATAAAGAGAAGACTAAATTACAAAAACAGTCCCCGAATTATCATTTTTTTTCTATTTTGGTCTTATTTCAAGGTTTCTAATTTTGGTCTTTATTTCAAGATTCATTTGACAAAAATTTATTTTGCAAAGAGTGTTAATGTTACCTGCATAAAATAAACACATGCAACAAGATCAATGTTTTCTGCGGTTTTGACTATCCGAATGCAACGTTTTGTTATCTGTTCAATAAGATCAACCCCTCCAACTCTTCCAGCTACTGTAGCATTTTCACTATCTTCACCAACTTTCATTGCCTGTGTACAAAATCTGCAATACCATTTTCCTTGTGGGATCTCCTTTTCATCAATACATTCTGTATGTATCAACCAAAAAAAAGTAAAACATATTTGATTAATTCATTGTAAATATTTGATCTTGTTTTTCTATAAAAATTAAAAACTGACCTTTATGGAAGGACCTAGGGCATCCATCACAAAGCAACAGATTTCCACCATCCCAACATATTCTACACAAGTCATCATTAAACTTCACAGGACATCTTTTGTTTTCGGCTCTCTTTAAAGAAACAGATTTCCACCATCCCAACATATTCTACACAAGTCATCATTAAACTTCACAGGACATCTTTTGTTTTCGGCTCTCTTTAAAGAAACCGCATATTCATGGAGAGATACTCCATTTGAGATGTAAATGTCTTCATATCTGTCAACATTTATATAAAAACTTATTCATGGATCCAAATAGGTAATTTACTCTCTAACAACAAAATACAAAGAAATGTATATGTAAGAAAACTCACGGTTTTTTGTGTGAAGGCCAACCAGCATGCGCTTCAAACTGTGAGGCGCTTATCTGTTCATGGATGTAAAAATGTTAATGAAGTTTTAATTTTTTTTTCAAAAAAAAAACACAGGGTCAAAATGGGAAATGCATATACCTCAGTCTTGTAGCATGAACAGAATATTCCATGACCTAACTTATAACCATCTAGAAGTTTCTGTTGATAAATAAATGTCAGATTTTTTTTTTCAAGAAAATGATATGATGTTAACAAATATAAAAAAATAAAAAAAATAAAATAAAAACCTGTCACCTTTCCATGAGAAACATAAGTTAGTTTGGTTCCATCGGGTAAACCTCCTTCCTCAAAAACAGGCCAATGCAACTGCTGATTCCTGCATATCAACAAAAGTTATTATTTTACATTTTTACTTCAAGCAATTGAAAGAAACTTTATTGAAATTAAAGTGATAGAGTCTAACTTTATTGTTAGCTTTTTTCCACTCTTCTGTTGTGAGGAGAAAGCACTCCCTGGTGGCTTTGATACAGTAGTTGACCTTGGTGACCTGAACTTTTTTAGTATCTTGTCTTTAATCTTACTTCGTGATAACTTACCACTTTTAGCACTTTTAGGTGAGTTCAGAACTGAATCTGACCTGAAATAAGTCGCATCATATATCTGTCATAAATAGCTACAAGTTAAATGTTATATTCAGAAAACAAATACTTACTTCCTTGGTCTCCCTCTTCCTCTCTTTTTTTCTGATAAAACTGGCAACTCGGTATTTGTAATGGCCTTCAGTACTGGACTTGATGGCCTAAAAGTAAATAGATTAGACATCAATATTTTCCTAAAAAGCAAGTAAATTTTAGTATACATGTCCAAATACATTCACATGGAAACCATAGATCATAGATCAATGAAAAAAGTTCAGTGTGGATTTCTTACTAGATTAGACACCAGGTTATTAGAATACAGATGTGGAAGAAGATTGAATATTAGAATTGTTGAAAATTAAGATAGATCAATAAATACTAAAAGTAACATGCATGTATAAGCGGTAAGCCAAATGTTGTAAAGATACACAGTGTCAAAATAATACACACCTATCTTCCACTTCCACTTCCACATTGATTGCAGAAAGGGCCACCACTTGTTGTTCCTGTTTCTGATTCTGATTTTGATTCTTCTGATTTAAACAAGTGTCACATTTTAACATATTTTCAGTAGAAGATGATTCGAATGGGCCTGTGAATCATAAAAAGAATACCAAAATTCAGAAAAAAAAATACCCAAAAAAGTATAGAGAGCTAGGTCAATTAGGGCATTGTTTACCGTTGCAGTCTGTACATATGGAAGGTTCCTTGACTTCCTTCACAGGCAATGAAGTAATTACATTCTCAAAAGCTACTTCTAGAGATTCCAAAGCTGATGATTTACATATTTCAAGCAGTTCAAGGAGGCTTTTCCCGTTTTCAAGACAAATATATTTATAGAGAGCTGATGACTTCCTACAATAAGTTCAATAAAACACAAAACATCAGTAAAACCCACCAGATCTGGTAATGTTGTGTGATGGTTTTGGATGGAAATCCATGGCAGTGGGTAGTTAGAGGCTGCACCACAATCTCATTGATGGAAATCGACCTCCAATAAATGGAAAACAAGAGTTTTGAATCGGGAAAAGGTTGATGAATTTACCTTTTACTTTCATACCTGTATAACTCCTGAGAAGATAAAGGAATTACCTTTAGATTTGGAATTATCTCCATGTTAAGAGCATCTGGTTGGGAAAGTCTTACAATAGCATTCACGTTCATCCACCTATAAGCAACAGCCACACTGTCAATGGCAAGAGGGTTATCATAATCGAACAAAGGACTGTATTGAAAATAAAATTCGACCCACTTGACAAACTTACCAATATTTTAGAGTTAAATACCCTAGAATCGGGGAAAAGCAACCCATTTCACTCCCTTTTGAATTACCTCAGTAATAAGGTGTATTCACCGACCATTACAGGCCTTGGAGTTGTTGTGAATCTCCTTCCATCCATCACTTTCTTTCACCTCTACCGTACAGGCAGAAGACAATGTTAGAGGCGTTATTGATTGAGCTATTTTAGATCTGGGGAGGAGAAAACAAGAAATCACGAACATAAGATCAAAAAACATTACCTGAAGCATATTCAGTCGACCACATCAGCTGTTCCAAAGAAAGGGCGTCGTTTTTTCATACTGATGATTGGGAGGAGCGGTTTCAAATATTCAGAACTTGGTAGCCAGAGTGGAGGCGTGAAGAAGATGAGAGATAGGTGTTTAAATATCGATGTGAGAATAAACAAGGAAGAGAGGCGATGGTCAGAAGATCGTTGGAAAAACATGGCGGAATGGCTCGAATATAAAGATGAACACAAATAAATACACATATTTCACAAAGAAACGTACCCATATCATGTGTCTCCGTACTTCATGGGTCAAGGGTTTTCAGGTAGAACAACAACGACATTCTCTAGGGTTTCCTGTGGCGGTGTAGTGATTTTTCGATAGAGGTAGAGACAGATAGTGAAAGAAGGTTGGGGACGGGGATCTAGGGTTAAGATGGTGAAAGAAGGCTATGGTGATTTAATGTATGGATGCACGGTGTAGTGGATATTGAGAGAAATAGAATATGGAGCATCAAATCCTGTGGTGGCGGCGGAGGTCGTGAAGCCGCGAAACAACGGTGATGGTAAGAAAGGAACCAACTGGAGATCACTTTTCCGGTAGGGAGGGGAGGAAGACGGGCGATGATTTTTTTGGGGAAAAGAACACGCCTAGGGCAGAAGGTGGAGGCATCATTAGAGGGAACAAGGTAAAAAGAGAGGAGATCGAATCATTTAGTGTGAGGGTCGATTAAGAAATCTCAAACCCTTAACCTTAAACATGATGTGAAGCGATTGATCCATAATCTTCTTCGTCTCCGTCAATTCCTTGGGCTCACATAATCGGACGATGGTGGTAAATGAAGCATTCTTCGAGAAGGAAGGTGCATCGCCGCAGTTTGAGGCTAGAAGAGGCAACGAGGATTGGAGGCAGTGGATGTGGGTGAGGGGTGGAGACGAGGGAGAAGAAGGTGGGGGTTTAGAGCGAACGGTATGGGCCTAGACGAGGAGCGACGAGCATGACATGGCGGTCCGCGACGCCGTCGTAACGTGGGGAACACCGGCCCCCAACGCGTTGCATCTCGTTGTCCGGTTCTCTCGTTGTCATGGAAACGAAATGCGACGCACAAAATTTAGCCGTTGCCATTTAGACCGTTTGATAACGGTCAATTTCAGAAAAAAAAATTATTTTTTTACCGTATATATATATATATATATATATACTAGGAAATTCCCGAGGCCCGTGCTAAGCACGGTCCGAGCAAGGCGATTGGGTATTTAGAAAGATTAAGGTAGATTGATAAAACTAATTTAGTTTCGTAGTGTGATATCATATCTCAGGGTGAATACTCTAAACATAATATGGAACGTGATTGGTGTATACAATAAAAAAAATTACATGTGTGTTATTATAGTGAGTAAAAAATAAATACATTGTTGATATTGGTAAAGAAAAGTAAAGTGTATTGGTATGAAGTATGTTGCTATTATTAATATGGAATTGGACGTACATTGCTATTATGGGTAACAAAATGAAATTACATTCATGTGACCTTTAAAAATAAAAACATTGTACTTTCTAAGCTTTTTTAAAATGTCAACAAAACAAAAAAGTGAAAGTTCGATGCTATATGATAAATTATGTTATGTACTGATATTAAATCTCAACTGTTGAAGCTTAGAGGGAGGTAAGAGATCATTACTACAAGTGCCTTTAATAGTGTTGTATATACATAATTTATGGTTGTTCGTGCAAAGTTTCTACATGTTCCTATACACACATAGAGAAAGATATATAATATCTGATATGAATGGTAAAAAAGGTCTTCTTTTTGAAATTTGAGTATATACAGTCTAGTGGTCGTTGAAAAGCTCATGAACATGAACACATAAGGGTAATTTGGGTATTTGGTTCGCAGTTGTTGAAAAATATTATGGTAATAACAAAAAATTGGAAAGTCAATGATATAAATGGGTTAATTTTCAACATAAAATGTCTAAATAAGCAAAAGAATATGAAAATACATGGCTATATTATACAACCAAATGAATGTATGTCTTATTTCCCACATAAGAGCTAGGTATACTTCCTTATAGTGATTGTTGTCAAATTGAATGCTGAGTAAGGAAAGAAGTAAAAGATTAGATAAGTAACAAATAAAGATATAACTTGGGAATGAATTATTATTGACCTGATCAATTTAACATGAAGATGTCTAACTTCACATGATAATCCATATCATACAAGAACACAATAAGCAATGTAATTGTTATGAATTCATAACCTACTAAAAATTAAATTCATTCGAATTTGCCTAGTTTTTAAGAAGTAAATATTTAACAAAAAAAGAAAGAGAAATGACAAAATGAGATGACAAAAATGTTGGATAAGATGAAGTCGATATAAAAATCGTATATGTTTTTGATTCCTGATCTGAACATGGTGCTATATAATCTAATATTGATTTTACCCATTCAACCCAACACAGATAGGAGAAATTGTTGTTTTCTTTTTTAAAATCATAGCTTATGGCCTATCATATTTTCCCCATGTTGTAGAGTTAATTGTGTTCTTGACCAATCTGAATACGCCTTGTTTCCATCATAGTTGTATCTAGCTGTTTTATAATTGAAATTCCTTTGTTCCAATATGATAATGAAATCAGTCGAGAAAAGTTCGATTTCTCATTGTAATGTTAGTTGAATAGTAAGAATAATATAAATATGATGATATATAATGTTAGATTATATGACAAGAGTGATGCTATGTATTCTTTTTTCATATGTTTCTCAGATTGGGAAAAAGTAAAACTTTTCCAAAGCTGTAAAAGTAAAAGATATTCATAATGCACAATTAGAGATTGAAATAACATGTGTAAATGTATAACAAACTTAGTGTACAATGATTGGGCTGGGTATATTATATTCATCATTTCTGGTTAATCAACATAGGTATGGTCATTAGTCATTGATATATTTATGGATTTATGTTGTATATATTTTTTCGACATCGTATATATTTGTTGTAGAAAAAAGGAAATGTAAGATTATGCAAGTAGAATGTCGAAATTAACATGATGATGACTAACATAAATATTATAGAGTAAATGAAGTTATGGTGAGGCATACATGAATTGTTCTAATAATGTAATAATGTTGGATATAATAACATAGAAACATACCAATACCATGTAGAAATAACATAATATTATCTTTATTTAGGTAAGTGATAATGATCAATAGTCGGTTGGTAGATTGTGTGGAAAATAGCTCTGTGACAAGCAAATGAAAGCAGTCAGTGTACACAAATAAACAATTAAACTACTTAATGCAATGTTGGTTGATGCTCCATACCTATTTCATTTTTTAGTTGGTCTTGATGTGCCAACAGATGACGATTCCGTCACTTTTGTTTTCCCTACATCTAGCTGGATACGCTTTTGGGTTTGCTTAGGTGAGGCTGGTTTTGTTGTTGACAGAGTTTCAGATTTAGTTGATGGATTGAGTAGTTGTTGGTCTTTGGTGTAATGTTCTTGAACTTTATGCAGCTTGACAATGACAAATCTTGTGATTTGTTGTTGTTGGTTCCATGATTGATATGATCGGACAAATGAGACAACTGATAATCCTTGAACTGATGATGCAATAACATCATGTACATTTTTTTCCTGCTATATGTAATTTATTAAATGTTATGAAAATATTTGAATAATTAAAAAATGACGGTTTTGAAATTATAAAACCTTACACTTTCTCCTATATCTCTGATTTCATTGGGTTTTAATGGAATTAACTTTTCAATTTCTGGTGTTGATATGCTTGCAACAATTGTTCCAGTTCCATCATCGATTTCAATTATTGCCCTTGAGCTGTTCAAAGAATCATGATGTCAAAAGAAAATTGGTTTAAAAGTTTATTTAATACAAATACACATACATGATATGTACTTCAGATTTCTCTTTACAAAGAGGGCATTTGATGTTCCAGTTTACATCTGCTTGAATTGGTTTTAAACACATAGCACATATTGTTTGTGTGAAACTTCTATCTTGATGAGGTAGATTGAGATTTCCTTTTATCCAAGTTGGTTTACCCTGGTGGCAAATAATCGGTAAGTTTATGATGGTTTAGAATATATAGAATAGTTGATGATCAATTGTTATAATTACTTACATTTTTCATCCTTATAATTGCCCTGCCTATTGGAAGTATGTCTTTGTTTTCGGGAGATGGCAACAGAATCTCAGTATCCTTGTATGTTTCATTCTGAAGGAGTCCTTTAATTTCTTCTTTGTTAATTGTGTACCTGTGCATTACAAAAAATTAATTAAATATAATTGTGGGTAATTATTATCTTGAATATACCAGTCTTGTAGCGCTAAATCATCTTTCACTGGTGGATTTATAAGAATCGCAGATCTGGGGCTTGTAGTGAGTGATTGTCCTGATATGCATGTTGTTAATCATTAGTGTATTTTTTTAGGCATATATGTTTCTGCATTATGGTTGAAAGGGATTCGAATATACCATAGAATGTTGTCACATTTACCCTCATTGCAAATACCAAAGGCCCAGTATTGGTTATTTTGACCAAGGCATTTCCTTCAATTTCATCGATGGGATTCCATAATGTTAGAATTAGAAGTTTTTTCCTGATAAAAATGTGTCGATTTTAGAATAATAATAATAAATAAATTTTAAAAAAATGATTTCATATTGTTAATTCTAAGAAGTTAATCTTGCACATACTCCTCATTGACAATGATTACGTCCCTTTTTGATGATGTTTCTGATCCCTTTTTCACATGCTGAATTGGGAAGCATTTAATTACAACACCTCTTACATCTGCATTTTAAAAGGTATAGATGTATATGTGACAATGTGGTTATAAATGGATATAAATGAATGGGTAAATGTGTATGTCTTACTTATATAATTTTCTTCACCTGCATACTTGTATAGTTCACTAAATGGGGTAAAGTGAAATTGGCATGGAAGTGGTGGTGGGGTTTGTTCTTCGATGGGTTCAATGAGTGTTTGTTTGGTTAGTGTCCAAGAAAATTCATATGAATCAAGTTGAAAACGTGGTTCTGTGAGTCTCAAATTTGCATTGGAAATTTGATAGCGATTGTATGGTTTGAATGTATTTTCAAAAAAGTCAAGGTCATTACTATAGACTAAGGCCAATACTCTTGTCCCCTGATGTAACAAACATGATTAGAATCAACATACAAATTGAAAAATTAACGCATGTAATGTTGGTATACATGTGTGTCCGTAAACATGAGTCTCCTAAATTCTCTTTTTGCGTTACTAAGTTGTCTATGACCACATTCTATAACTTGAATTTCGACAGTCCAACTTTTCTTCATGTTTGGAGTAATGTCGACTATGTTGTAATAATTTTATTCAATACAGAGTTCTATTCAATAATTAATTTTTTATATCCTTGGTGTAGCAAGTCATCTGTTGTTAATGTATGAACTGGTATTGATTAATAGTAATATATAAAATAAAAAAAAAAGTCATTTACATATAAATATTTGTTTATTTGTTGCATCATTTGTAATACATAAGCATGGCGATAATTGCCTGAATTTTATGGGAAGTAAATTCTCCAAGCTCCCTCTGGAGGTGAAATCCACCTACCTGCTTGAAATTGATCAATTTCGTTTATGACCTTTGGATGATCATCTTGTGTAACTGAAAAACTTATTTTGTCACATCCTTTGCATATATACTTATATATGTATTTCACAGCCTTTATTGTAGAGCATATTTCTATATTAATGTGACAATCAAACTTACATAGTAAATATGGATTGTATGGAACAACCCATCTATTATCTAGTGTAGCACCTCTAACTGTAACTTTAACCCCATTGTCACGTCTTCTGTATGCAGGGTAAGCATCTTTATCTTGTGTTGTTACCTCACAAAATGCTTTGGGAAAAAAATTCTTACAATACCCTTTTTTTTCATACAAACATTTTTTGGATTAAGATCACCACATGGACCATGAAGCATATGTTTTACCACCATTCTAAATATATGAGGATTTGAATGTTTATCTGGTATTTCGGCTGAAACTATCTCATCATACTCTTCTGCATGGTACATCTTATGTTGTGGTTCAAGTATAAGTAAAAAATGAGCATGTGGTAGTCCTCTTTTTTGAAACTCCACAACATAAGTATGTGCAATAACCTTACCAAAAATTTCATTTTTAAAAATTTCTTTCTTAAATTGCTCAAGTTTTGCATGGAAGAATCTAACAATTAAATCTGCTCTATTTTGTGTTTCCTCGTGACACATCATGTGTTGTTTGATTTCTGGCCAATTAGGGTTACAGGTTAATGTTACAAAAATGTATGGCTTACCAAACTTTTGCACTAATGCCATAGCATCAATGTATTTTATTCTCATGTTCTGTGGACCACCAATAAAAGTTGCTGGTAAAACCACTCGTTGGCCAATAGATGATGCACTCGTTTCACCACTTGCCATAGCATCTACCACCCCTTGAAGGAACTCTTGTCTTAACTCTTGTTGTTGATTTCTATAAAAAGCTAACCTTTGTGTTTCTAATTTTATGTAACTATCAACTATATATTGTTGTAATAATCTACCAAAAAGCAACAAACATGATTTATCATGCGAACGCATTTGAAGTTTATATGCATAATATTCTCTTACAGAAACACATTTTGTATTCTCCAAAGATTTTCCCATACCTGAAAAAAAAACAAATCTATTAGTTTCAATTTAGATGTTTTACAAAAACACGAAGGGTATTTCCTTACCTATTTCTTCCATATTTAATAAGTCATCAACATGTGTAATACCCGATGGCGAGATTAGCCTTTCTGCGGAACATGTAACTGTTTTACTATTTCCTCGTTCAGTGGGACTTTTTTTTGGAATGTGTTGATGCCAACCAAGTTCTCCATATGGAAACATTAGAGGGTATTGTAAAGGATCATAACAACCATAATAATACTCAACACTCTTTGGTTCGTCACTGTGTGTTCTTACTTGTATATTTCTACGACCATGTTCACCGTTCTCTTCACCCTCAACCCATAGTGCTGCAACTTGTGAAACATCTGGTTTGTTATATACACGTTGATCTTGTCGTGGAATAGTTTTAAGAACAATCTTATATTCATTCAAACATGGAATTTCTCTTAATTTTTTTTAAAAAAAGTGCATATGGATTATCCGTCAGATAACTTATACATGTTGCAATTAACTGTTTAGATAATCTTGGGGATGATGTTAACCAATTTTCAATTTCATTGTTCGTATCGTGAAAATATAATTGAAGGTTTTTGGCTTCTTTCTCTTTAGGTTGTAGGTTGTTCATGAAGTGGTATACCTGTCCTTACACTCTAAAAGTGTAAATACCCATATTTCGTCTTGTAAGTTTTTTATCAGCTGTAACACCAGATGATGTGAATGCAAATGTATTATTATATGTTCTAATATATGTTCTAAATGATTTTGCTTCTTCAAAATTAGTTGTGAGTAAATTTCGCATGGCTTGTGGGAGTTCATTACTGGATAATACAATACGACCTTATAGGCAACAGAAATTTGATGTTTCTGAATAAAATTTCACAACATGACAATAAGAACAACACATGACCTCTGGAAGAACATCAGCAGATAATATTACTTGTTGCAATAGATTCTTTCCTTTTCTATTGCTATTTTTCTTGTCTACATTATTTGATTTCTCAATTGGTGGACCTAGATTTCTATGTTTTCTTTTGTTGAGTCTTTCACTTTCATTAGTTATGTTTTCATTTATGTGGTATAGGCCTGTTTGTATGGTATCACACACTTTTACATTTGTGTTGTTTATTGTTACATTTGTATGACAAGTATTCTTTAATTTCTTCTTTTTCCATTTTATGAGAGCTTTTTTCTATATCTTTTCTTATATGCATGAGCAACATTAACCATATCTAACTTATCAATTATAGCATCACAATTACCATTCTTTTTCTTCCAGTTTATAATAGCTATTCTCCTGTATAGTTTCTTATCTACATTAGAACAGCTAGCAACAGTTGTTTTTTCTTTGTCAATGTTTGATGGTTGATGACATCCACTCATGATCCTGAAATTTGGTAAAAATAACAAAAAATTTGTAAGGTCAATGATATAAATGGGTACATTTTCAACATAACATGCCTAAATAAGCAAAAGAATATGAAAGTACAGTGCTATATTATACAAACAAACAAATCTACATTTCTATTCCCACATAAGAGTGAGGTATACTTCATTCAAAGTGATCGTTTTCAAATTGAATAGTGAAGTAAGCAGGGAAGTAAAAGATGAGATAAGTAACAAATAAAGATATAACCTAGGAATGAATTATTATCGAGTCAATCAATTTAACATGACGATGTTTAATTTGACATGATAATCTATATCATACAAGAACATTAGAAGCAATGAAATTGTTAAAAATTCATAACCTACTAAAATTCAAATTCATTCAAAATGCCTGGTTATTAAGAAGATAAAATTAAAAAAAAACAAAGGGAGGAAGGACAAAAATGAGATTGCAATAATGCTACAATTTTAACTAAATAATGAGTTGTTCCATTGATTAGTGTTGTAGTTATTACTATATTGAAATGATTTTTCTTCTGGAATATTAATGTAGTTACGATAAGTTGCAGATATGTCTGATTTCTTTATTCACGTGTACATAACGCCGATCAACAATTTGCAATTTTTGGTTAACTTATGAATGAGGAGTAATGAAGTGTAATTAGATCAATCCAAATTCATTTCAACTTATACTTTTAACACCAGGTTGTATATTCATAAGTCACGAAAATTACAGAATACTAAAACTTTTTTTACAGGGGATGCTTTCTGATGTTTTTTTTAATTTAAAGGAAAACAGTTGACCAATTACGCTCAATTTTAGAAACACAGAAACATGGAAAACAAAATTGCAATTTGAAGGCTATGTCAATTTTTTTTAATATGATGGAAATTAGTGGATTTTTTTTGATTTTTTTATTAATTTAAAGGAAAAAAGTTGATCAGTTATGATTAATTTAGAAACACAGGAACTCGACAAACAAAATTGCAATTTGAAGGCTATGTCAATTCTTTTTTTTTTTTAATATGATGGAAATTTGATATTTATTGCAATCACACCATTTAAAAAATACATGCAATATGGGATTAATATGGTCAATTTTAGTTTGGGATAGAGACCTATTTACGACGCTAAACTTCATGAAGATTGGGAATTATGCTTTTGAAAAGTTAATAACCAAACAGAACACAAGAGAACGAGAGAGGAAATGGGATTATGTCAGGGTAACATACACAAATTTACAGGAAGGTAGTAATCAATCACAATGGTTGTGAACCTTTATTGAATCAGAAAGATGAAGCGTGACAAATTTCATGCAATTCGATCAATTCGATAGAGGTTGTTCATCACTTTCACAAATAACCCATAATCATTCAGAGATGTTTTGAGACAATTTCACACATCAGAGGAGAAAATGTTGTGGTATAATGTAGAAGAGAAGCAAGAACGATTCTCAAGTAATTAAAGTTTGAAATTAGGGTTTGTGATCATGTACCTATGGGTATGAAAGGACGGTGGACGATCACTTTGAATAGGTTGAAGTAAGTTGTTGGTCTGGCCAAATGTCCGCCTTAAAGATCACTTGATCTTCAAGACCCTGAGAAAAAACATTTTTTTTAATAAAGGCTGTCAAAAAATGAATGTATCAAAATAACCAGGTAAATTAGAAGACTGCAATAAGATATGCATTTGGAGGAAAAATATGACAGATTTATATATTTGAATTCAGAGCAACCAATGGAACAAACTTTCAGCAAGTTTTTCCCCTGTTTCACCAAATTAATCACATATCTTTGTGTGATTGAATTTAATTCACCTTTTATACGATTGAAAACAAAAAGGAATATAAAATTGCAATAACATATGCATTTGTGGTAAAAATATAACATTTTTATACTTGAATTCAAAGTTATACAATGTAAAGCAACCAAAGGAACAAACTCTGAGCAATATTATCACATGTTGCAACTGATCATGATAAATAGAATTGGAAAAGATGTAAACACACTGGAATCTATCTATTTTCTCATGTGCAAACGTTAATCATAATTACAATTGGACTTTGCAGATAGGAGAAAAAAACAAGTGAAATAGGTTTTAAGTTGGAAAGAAATCAATCGATAGTTTGAAGTAGAAAAAGTATGGAACAAGTGAAGTCAATTTAGAGTTCTTATAGAAAACATACCAGTGGGAAGATTTGCGATGGCATAAGGAGATAACGCAGAAAGATAAATGTTGTCGTTCTTATTTAAATCAATATTCAGGATATTTTCGGTGAAGAATTCGGGGAATTTTATGAAACTAAAGCATAGCATCAGGTTCTATTAGAAGGATTTAATTGTTAACTAAAAAGTGGGCACACGAAGACTTTGAATTCAAATTGGAGCCATCAACCAACGACTTATGATACATTTTAATTGACAAAATGCAGAAGACAAAGAAAAATGCTTACCTTTTTCTTTGAACGGAGGCTCGATTGACTTTCAATCTTCGGTGTTAGGGCTTAGCGATTGTAAGAGGAAGAGGACGGTCACATATTGTCATAGAAGATGATTGTATTTGGTTGCGATTACTTTTTTTGTCGATGGTGCAGTTCGTATAGTTAGAGGAGAAGGGATTCACTGATGAACAAAAAATTAGGATTTGTTCGTAAGATCAGAATGGAAAATTGGCTTAGGAGTCAAAGGCGAGACGGTGGTTTTTTTTTGTGTCGGTCGGAAGATGAGATACAGACGTATCCCTTTATGAAGCGACGTAGATGTTAATGGCGTCGTTCACAAGGTAGAATACGTGGCGGAAAGAAAACTCACTAAATTTGATTTTGGTGGCTTTTGGTAAATAAGGCTTTTATATATAGGAATGATATATATATATATATATATATATATATATATATATATATATATATATATATTTTATTTCAAATTTTTATATACCTTTCTCTCATTCTCTTTATATCTTATAAACATTTTTCATTAAAATTTCAAAAAATGGAGCAAAACCCAAACACCCCCCTCCATCATCAAACCCAAACACAAACTCGCCTCTCGGATTTGCGGGGTATGAAAATTATTTCAACCTTTTGTCGTCTCAAGGTTCACCACAAATCCCATACCAAGGTGCCGCTTTCAATCCCGCTTCACCGCCACTGCAATTTCCCAACTCACCTTACGTTCAACAAAATCTTTTCTCTACTTTTGGTTCGATGCAACAAACAACCAACCAACCATCGCCTACAACACAACCATCAGTTCAAGTTGAAGCGGGAAGTAGTAAGAAAGGGAAAGGGAAAGGAAAATCAAAAGAGGTAGAAACAGAAAATGCAGACGTTCCACAATGGTGGACACCGGAAGAGGAATACGCTTTGACGGCGGCTTGGTGTGCTACTTCAAAAAACGAACTTCGCGGAAATGGAATGAAAAAATGAGCTTATTGGGGGGCGGTGCTCGACAAGTTTCACGTTATTTTAAAGAAAAATCTGTATCGCAACAATGACATGTTGAGCAGCAAATGGGGTATGATAACTAAGCGGTGCATC